TACTAAAAATACACACACACACACACACAAATAGCCTGGTGCGGTGATGTGCACTGTAATCCCAGCTATAGGTGGCTAAGGCAGGAGAATCGCTTGCACCTGGCAGGTGGAGGTTTCACTGAGCCAAGATCGTGCCATTGCACTGCAGCCTGGGCGACAAGAGTAAAACTCCTTATCAAAAAAAAAAAAAAAAATCCCTTTGGTGTCTCTGGCACTGAATTCTCACCTCTCCCAGGCTCTGACTTTGCTATTTTGTTTTCTCCCCGCTCCTCCAGTCTCTTCTCTTTTGGGGTCCCTCGTCCCTCACCTCCCCCCCCACCGCCTCCCCCGCCTCGCCGTTGAATCCGCGTTCTCTGTAAAGCCGTTTGATTCCTGTGTTTAAGCACCGCCCTTCACCCACGCCCTTAGCACCTCCCCTTCCTCAACAAAAGTGGCTGATCAAGATAGTTTCCTAAACAAAAACCGTCTCACTCTACTAAATGCACTGAAAACTTACCATCTGGTGTCTATATTGGCCTTCTGAGCAACTGATTAGTCTGAGTCCACAGCTGAGACCCGGATCTCCTCTCCACCAACTGCCAGGCTGAGGACAGACCCAGGGCCCCAGGGGTGAATTTGTCAGGGCAGAGGCCTCTGTGGCAGCCTCTTGGCAGTCTGCCAGTAGCCCCTTCTGGCAGCTTCCCATCTCCCCAGCATCACAGATCCAGCCTCAGGAGTGTGGGGCCGAAGGAGAAAACCTGAGAGTGACCACCGCACCCAGGTGGGTGGACTCTGGGGGACACAGAGGTGCTCAGGCCCAGAGCTGGTGGGAGAGGGGAGGTGATGAGAGACGGGGCACCCAGAAAGTCCCACCTGCATTCACTGGGAAATTCACTGGGAGCTGGGCAGCCCTGGAGAGGCGCTGGGAGTTGGGAGCATAAGAGGAAATACCTGGGGCTCTCACTGCCAGTGAATAGGACAAGCTGGGAAGGAAACAGTGTTTTCCAGATTGCCAAGTCCAAGGCAAGAGACGGTACCGAGAGAAGCCTTTAAAACTGCCATTCAAGGCCAGGCACGGTGGCTCTCACCTGTAATCCCAATACTTTGGGAAGCTGAGGCGGGAGGATTGTTTGAGCTCGGGAGTTTGCGAACAGCCTGGGCAGCCTTAACAAGACCCCACCTCTAAACATATAAAACAAATTAGCAGGGCACGGTGGCGTATGCCTGTAGTCAGAGCTATTCAAAAGGCCCAGGTGAGACAAGTGCGTGAGCCCAGTACATCTAGGCTGCAGGGAGCTGACATCACACCACAGCACTCATTCAGCCTGGATGACAAAGTAAAACCGTGCCTCAAAAAAAGAAAAAGCAAACAAAACAGACCAGGTGTGGTGGCTCCTGCCCATATTCCCAGCACTTTGGGAGTTCGAGGCAGGCAGATTGCCTGAGCTCAGTAATCTGAGACCAGCCTGGACAACATGGTGAAACCCTGTCTCTACTAAAAATACAAAAGATTAGGCCGGGCGCGGTGGCTCAAGCCTGTAATCCCAGCACTTTGGGAGGCCGAGGCGGGTGGATCACGAGGTCGAGAGATCGAGACCATCCTGGTCAACATGGTGAAACCCCGTCTCTACTAAAAATACAAAAAATTAGCTGGGCACGGTGGTGCGTGCCTGTAATCCCAGCTACTCAGGAGGCTGAGGCGGGAGAATTGCCTGAAACCAGGAGGCGGAGGTTGCGGTGAGCCGAGATTGTGCCATTGCACTCCAGCCTGGGTAACAAGAGCGAAACTCCGTCTCAAAAAAAAAAAAAATGCAAAAGATTAGCCAGACATGGTGGCGCACACCTGTAATCCCAGCTACTCAGGAGGCTAAGGCACAAGAACTGCTTGAACCCAGGAGGCGGAGGCTGCAGTGAGCCAAGATGGTGCCGCTGCTCTCCAGCCTGGGCAGCAGAGTGAAACTCCATCTTGAAAAACAAATAATATATTTTATTTAACCCAATCTAATCAATAATTTGTGAGTTATTTTACTTTTTTTTTTTTTTAAGGACAGGGTCTCACTCTGTTGCCTAGGCTGGAGTACAGTACAGTGGTGTGATCACAGCGGTGTGATCACAGCTCACTACAGCCTCCAGCTCCCCTGAGCTCAGGGGATCCTTCCACCTCAGCCTTCCAGGTATCTGGGACTGCAGGCATGTGCCACCACACCTGGCTAATTTTTTTTTTTTTTTTTTTTTTTTTGTATTTATAGGCACATAGCACCACGCCCTGATAACATTTTGTACTTATATAAAGATGGGGTTTCATGATGTTGCCCAAGCTAGTCTCAAACTGCAGGGCTCAAGCGATCCTCCCACCTCAGCTTCTCATAGGGCTGGGATTACAGGTGTGAGCCACTGTGCCTGGCCTCCTGCCTCAGCCTCCCAAACTGTTGGGATTACAGGTGTGAGCCACTGTGCTTGGCCTCCCACCTCAGCCTCCCAAGGTGCGGGGTTTACAGGCTTGAGCACCACCACCAAGCAGGGCACATCTCATTTTAGACAAGCCACATTCTTTTTCTTTGTTTTGAGATGGAGTCTCGTACCGTTGCTGGAGTGCCGGGCACTATCACTGCAGCCTCCGCCTCCCATTCAGCCCGGAGTAGCTGGGATAGATAAGCCCCGTTTCAGACGCTCAGCAGGCACTGCGGCTGACAGCCACCCTATTGGATGTGGCAGTCTGAGCGCTTTATGTGCGTCAGTCCTCACAGTCATGCTTTTGTCATCCTCATTTGATAGATGAGAAAATTTAAACAGAAAGTGCTTCAGTGCTTTGCCCATTGCCATCCAGAAAGGAAATGGCTGAGCTGGAATCTGAGCCACCAAGGTCAGCCAACTGAGGGTCCACAGTCCGGTGTCCTAACAACTGTGCTATGCTGTCGGCTTCACAAATCTCATCTCCTGTAGGACATTCTAAAAAAGCTGCTTGCAGCCCAGAGGCTCATGCCTGTGATCCCAGCCCTGTGGGAGGCCAAGGACGGTGGATCATGAGGTCAGGAGTTCAAGACCAGCCCGGCCAAGGTTGTGAAACTCCGTCTCTACTAAAAATACAAAAATTAGCCAGGCACAGTGGAGGGCACCTGTAATCCCAACTACCTGGGACACTGAGGCATGAGAATCGCTTGAACCCAGGAGGTGGAGGCTGCAGTGAGCCAAGCCTAGGTGACAGCAAGACCCTGTCTCAATTTAAAACAAAAAAATGCTGCTTGCAGCTGGGCGCAGTGACTCACACCTGTAATCCCAGCACTTTGGGAGGCTGAGGCAGGCAGATCACTTGAGGTCAGGAGTTCAAGACCAACCTGGCCAACATTATGAAACCCCATCTCTACTAAAAATACAAAAAAAAAAAAAAAAAAAAAAATTAGCCAGACGTGCTGGCCCATGCCTATAATCCCAGCTACTTGGGAGGCTAAGGCAGAAGAATCACTTGAACTGGGGAGGTGGAGGTTGCGATGAGCTGAGATCCTGCCACTGCACTCCAGCCTGGGGACAGAACGAGCCTCTGTCTCAAAAAAAAAAAAAAAAAAAAAAAAAAAAAAGCCGGGCGTGGTGGCTCACGCCTGTAATCCAAGCACTTTGGAGGCCAAGGCGGGTGGATCACCTGAGGTTGGGAGTTCAAGACCAGTCTGACCAACATGGTGGAACCCCGTATTTTTTAAAAAAAAAAAAAGGCCAGCCACAGTGGGTCACACCTGTAATCCCAGCACTTTGGGAGGCCAAGGTGGGTGGATCATGAAGTCAGGAGTTCGAGACCAGCCTCCAGACCAACATGGTGAAACCCCTTCTCTAAACAAACAAACAAAAACACACGGATAACCCAATGTATAAGCAAGAGCTTTTACTTCTCTGCTACTTCCAGTCTGGTGTTGAGAGAGTGTAGGAGTGACCCAGTGAACTCCCCATGCGTACTACATTGTCACTAAATACCAGAGTCCCTGAATTTGGGGACATAAAACCCTGGAGCTTCCTCATACATGATGACAATTTCATTTTCTTATCATATTGGCCAGTTTCATCTACATCGAAACATGCTTCCCCCTATCTTTTCTGTTCTCGGATAAGCTTCAGCGCAGGGGAAACGTTTCTGGGGCCGCAGGTTCTGTTGGCTGCCTCTGCAATGAGAAGATTATGCAAAACAGATGTTGTGTCCCCATTTCGTCTCTCCTGTCAGGAAAGCTGTGTTCAGAGCCACACGGCGCCTGCAGCCGTCTGCTCTGCGGGAGTGTGTGTCTGAAGGCTCCTGGCTTTCTCTTTGCTGACATCTGACTGTCTGTACCTTCCAGTCTCATCTTACCTCCCGCTCAGTAAACAGTTTCTGCACGGGCAGGAGCCAGGTCGAACAGTTCCATAAACTGCTTTTCTATAGTTCTACCTAGAGCAGAGGTTTGAGATTAGGGTGCCTGCGTGTTGGCTCTAGGAGGACACAAACCTCCTGAATTCATGTGCAAAATCTATGTGTGTGTGTGTCTTTCTGGGGAGTGGTCACTTATATTCATTGGATTTCCGAGGGGGTCTGGAAGCCATGGCAAGGTCAGACAACACCTGGCTATATGATGGGCCCCGAAAGGTGACCGAATGGAACGTCCTGCCTTCTGCTCTGTGGAATATTCTTCTGGCCAAGAGCCACCGCTTCCCTGACCCTGGCCTTTCTCTTTCCCACTGTCACTAACAGGGACACGGGCTTTCCACCCGGCACCATTCCTCACTGAGAGCTGCTCTTAGGGCTCCCTGAGCCTGTTGCTGTGACTGCGTAGTGGCAGCTTGCAGAAGAGACGCCCACTCTTTGCTTTGTGAGATCCTCTGCTTGATCCCTGACCCACAGGCTGAGGCTTAAATTCTAGTTACACAAAACCGAGTGGTGGTGGCTCACTCCTATAATCTCAGCGCTTTGGGAGGCTGAGCGAGGCATGGGGTCATGAGGTCAGGAGTTCAAGACCAGCCTGGCCAATATGGAGAAACCCTGTTTCTGCTAATAATACAAAAAAATGCTCTGGTTTCTCTTTAAAACGAATAAATATTTTGCCCTTTAATAAAGATTTCCGTGGAGAGGAACAATTATGAGTTTATAACCTGATGTTTTGAGGTTCTGCTTAGGCAGGGCTCATTATAAATAATAATAATAATAATACAAAAAAATTAGGCAGAGGGGGAGGGTGGGCAGAAAAAAAAATTAGCCGGGCATGGTGGCGCATGCCTATAATCTCAGCTACTTGGGAGGCTGAGGCAGGAGAATTGCTGGAACCCAGGAGGTGGAGGTTGCAGTGAGCTAAGATCATGATAACTGCTGACTGCACCCTCAGCCTCCTGGGTTCAAGGGATCCTCCCACTTCACCCTCCTGAGTAGCTGAGACTACAGGCACCATCATACCTGGCTAACTTTTAAATTGTCCCACTGTGTGTCCAGGCTGGTCTTGAACACCTGGACTCAATCCTCCCACGTCAGCCTCCAAAAGCACAGGGATTACAGGCATGCACCCTCATGCCTGGCTACTTTTTTTGTATTTTGGTAGAGACAGGGTCTTGCCACGTTGCCCAGGCCTCGAACTCCTAACCTCAAGCGATCCTCCTGCCTTGCCTCCCCAGAGCGCTGGGATTACAGGCGTGAACTACCCCTACCTGGCCCTAGTTGTTCTGTTCAGAAGCCAGATTATGGAATCTAAATGGGTCATCCAGTGGCTAGCCAAATCCAAACAGGTACAAGTCCAAAAACTGAGATAATCGCTGACAGCAGAATCTCTCCCGGAGAATCGGCCGTGAGCCATTTCAGAGGCCGTGGGTGGGCAACTGCCTAGGGTTGTATTCAGTCCTCATGGCCATGGGACGGGGCTGTATCCTGAGTGTTTAAAAGTCCCAATGGATGGCCGGGCACAGTGGCTCATGCCTGTAATCCCAGCACTTTGGGAGGCCGAGGCAGGCAAACCACATGAGGTCAGGAGTTTGAGACCAGCCTGACCAATATGGTGAAACCCTGCCTCTACTAAAAATAAAAAAAAAATTAACTGGGTGTGGTGGTGCATGCCTGTAATCCCAGCTATTTGCGAGGCTGAGACATTGCTAGGACCCAGGAAGTGGAAGTTGCAGTGAGCTGAGGTTATGCCACTGCACTCCAGCCTGGGTGACAGAGCGAGAGTCCGTCTGAAAAAAAAAAAAAAAAAAACAAAACAAAAAAAAAAAAACCTCCTGATGGAATCCAGACGCAGAGATGAATGATTCTAAGGAGCTAGAACCTGGCATGGTAACGTGGCTGCCTTGGGCTTTCTTGACCTGATGTCTTTGGCTATTTGCTCAATCTGATTGTCTTTAATTGCGTTTCTTAGTCATTGAACAGCTTTGTAGGTCCTTTGAGTATTTCCAAATTGTGTGGCAATTGCGCTTTTCACTATAAATGAATCAACTGGCCTTCTGTGTGTGTTTTGAAAAATTACAATCTCTCATATGCAACGTTCCTCACTAATGACCTTCCTGGCCTGAGAGGTGGTTAAAAACAGTTGCCTCCTGCCCCCAAGCTACACGGCTTCAGGTATTGCATTTCATAATCCGTGGCCTCTATACGGAACCTCGTGACTGGGACAAGCGTTAAGGGCAGTCATGGTCAGAGTGGAGCGCTGTCACCTGCAGTGGGCAGCCCCATCGCTGAGTAGGGCCTGCAGCCATGCCTCAGGTGTTCTCCGCAGAGTGAGTGGTAGCCCTGGCTTCATGAGCTGGGGACCTCGTGGCTCTGGGGACTCAAAGGACTTGGTTTCTCCCTTGGAAGACAGAGGCAGGGGTAGACCAGGGCATAAGCAGTGCTGCTAGTGAGCTGTGCTCTGATGCTCCCTGGTACAGTCTGAAGCCTGCTAGGAGCTGAAAGAGGTGTGCAGGTGGGCCAGCTATCCCGAGCAGTGGCTTCTATTTGTGGCAGCCAAACAGTGGAGTAAGGTGGAGAGGACTGTGGAATCTTCGCAAGGCAAACCAGTGAGAGTACGTGCCAGGCGGGCCAAGGTGCCTTGGGGGACGTAACGGTTGTATCTCCAGAGATGAGTAGATGCTGGCTTCCTATTTAACATCAATCCAGCCCCCCGAAAGGTCTCCATCAGTGAGCCTGGCCTTCTTCCAGACTCCCCTCTAACCACATTTCCAGTAAGCACCCTGCCATCAGCCTTCCTCCCACGCCGATTCCCGGCTCTCAGAACGAGTATTTTTCATTGACACTCTACTGCTGTTTTGTTACTGTTTGCAACTTGTGTTATATGTGTATGTTGTGTCTAAAGTGGAAACAGGCCCCTGAGATCAGAATCTAGTTTTCTTGAATCCTCCTCCCCCTCCTCCACAACCACAAATAACTGGCACTGAACACAGGGCTTTGTGTAACGCCGACAAAATGCTTGTAAATGAGTTTATGTCCCAGACACTCAGAAGTATGTTTCCACTGTAAACAAACACTGTAGAGGCGAAAGGCTTTGTTTCCAAGGCTCAGGAACATGTAGAGAGAAGCCCTCTACCTTTGCATTCATTCAGACTGCCCTCATAAGCTCTTAGAATAAGTTGGGGGAAAAGCAGAAGGCTCTTGTATTACCCCTCATACAACAAGAAAAAAGAAAAGAAAAAGCAGAAGGCATGTTCAGCAACCTCACAGAACATATTTAGCTGGGAAGATTCTTCATGGAGCTGGCAAATAATTAAAACAATTTTCCGACATCCCATCCTCCTGACTTCACAGTTTAGCGTTAAAAGAAATTAAGCCAGGTGAAGTGGCTCACACCTGTAATCCCAGCACTTTGGGAGGCTGAGGCAGGTGTATCTCCTGATGTCAGGAGTTCAAGACCAGCCTGGCCAACATGGTAAAACCTCATGGAGAGCAGTTTAACAGACTAAAAATTTAAAAAAATTCGCTGGGCATCGAGGTGGGTGCCTATAGTCCCAGATATTCAGGAGGCTGAGGCAGAAGAATTGCTTGAACCCGGGAGACAGGGGTTGCAGTGAGCCAAGACTGTGCCCACTGCACTCCAGTCTGGGTGACAGAGCAAAACTCCATCTCAAGAAAGAAAGGGAAGGAAGGAAAAGGAAAAGGAAAGGAAGAAATTAGGGGCTGGGCATGGTGGCTCATGCCTGTAATCCCAGCACTTTGGGAGGCCAAGGCGGGAGAAACACTGGAGGTCAAGAGTTTGAGACCAGCCTGGCCAACATGGTAAAACCCCGCCTCTACTGAAAATGCAATAATTAGCCGGGTGTGGTGTGCATGCCTGTAGTCCTAGCTACTCAGGAAACTGAGGCAGGAGAATTGCTTAAATTCGGGAGGTGGAGGTTGCAGTGAGCTGAGATTGTGCCACTGCACTCCAGCCTGGGCAACAAGAGCCAAACTGTCTCAAAAAATAAATTAATTAAAAGAAATTAGAGTCAGAAACGTTTGCTTTGGTTTTGGAAAATCCAAAACAGCTTTTTCAAAAATTCTTTGCTATGAGATTCTTTGAGCTGTCAACCTGTATAACCGAAATTATTGATATTCTTGGCTTTTCAGAAAGGTATTTTCTTTAAATAAGAAAGGCAAAGGTGCTGGACGGCTCCCGGCCACAAGGGGGCGTAGTCTCCCTAGTCCTGGACTAAGGAGCCCGGGCCGTGTTCAGCCTCAGCCTCGCGGAGCTGGGAGGAGTCGCCTCGTAGCCCGGGTCCAGGAGTTCCCAGGAGACTCCAGACCTCTCTGTGCCAGCAGCTCCCCGCCGCGGAGTGTATGTCTGCGGTGCAGAAAGCCACGAGGGCTCCAGGCTGAAGAGGAGGTCATGTTTAAATTACAGACTGAGCAGAAGTGCTGTGCTGGCAGCTTTGCCCAGGAGCCAGCTGGGCGGGTGGCGTCTGGGGCATGACCTTGGGTGGCTGTGATGCTGGTTAGGGTGCTGGGCGGAGCCTGGCTGGCGAGGCTGGATAGCATGGGCGTGGCAGCCACAACACACAGATGGGGCCACGCAGAGCCTGTGGGAGCCTCTCTGTCTGGCCAGCTGCTCCCAGCCCTGCCGGCATTGGGACTGTATGGGGTGGTCAAGGCAAAGACCGTGCTTTTCAGCAAGATCGTCCGCATCTGGTTTCGATCTCCCTCCCTCCCTCCCTCCGCATTACCTTTTCCAAAAGGACCTCTTCTCCAGCCCAGCTGAATGACCTGCTCTTCCCGAAAACGACTTAAGCTTTGCTTCATTAAGTCATTTTTGCACTTAATCCCGCACTTACTGAGTGTGTATGGTAGCCAGGCACTGTGGAGATACAAGACCTTGTCTGTGACTTCTTGTATCTTTTGTTGTTGTTTAAACAGTCTTGCTCTGTCTCCCGGGCTGGGGGGCAGTGGCGCGATCTCCACTCACTGCAACCTCCGAGTCTCTGGTTCTCCTGCCTCAGCCTCTCAAGTAGCTGAAACTACAGGTACAGACCACCATGCCAGGCTGATTTTTGTATTTTTCGGTAGAGACAGGGTTTCACTGTGTTGGCCACGTGGGTTTTGAACTCCTGACCTCGAGTGATCCAAGTTGGCCTTTCAAAGTGCTGGGATTACAGGTGTGAACCACCAGAGCCCGTACATCGACACCACAATTTTATGCCTTCAAATCTTTATTCATGCTTTTCTATTTGTGGAAAATCCTCCTCGTCCCTCTCTGACTGGCCAGATTTTAGTATCTTTCAGTGATCTCCTCAAGCCTCCCCAACTGTGGGACGCTCCCTCAGATTACTCCAAAGTGAAAACAGGGACCAGGTCCTTCTCATTCACTGTTATGTCCTGAGTGACTAACAGGTGCCTGGTACAAGCAGGTACTCAAAAATACTGACAATGAATGAGGCGGTCTTGTCCATCTCTGACTTCACAGCCCTCTTGCCCAAGACATTCATTTCCCGTCCTGCCCGTGACATTTCTCCTACTGAACTTTATGACTACGTTTGTTACTACTCAGTGCTGAGTGGTTGGGGTAGGCAGGGTTCTGGATTTGCCAGGAACAGGAAGGAATTTACTGGTTCATTGAATCACACCCTGCGATGGACAGCCGGAACCACAGGGACCTGGGAGTGCAGCATCAGGACACTCTGCCCCTCCACTGGCTTCTCCCATTGATGTCTTCATCCCCTACTACAGCAGAAAGCCTTC